CTCTCCCTGATATTACCCCATATATGTCTGACTAAATTGACAAACAATATGAGCAGTGAAACATACAAAGCATTTTCAAACACATAATTAGACACTGATATCGTGGAAAACATATTTTCGTAAAAATATTAATAGTTATTTAATGTAAACACATGGTTTATCTATGTTTTGTAAAAATGTTTCATAATACCTATATCGTGTATTTATAATCATTTATAATTTATCAAATAAATTTTTAACGCAAAATATTTTTTAATACTTTTCTATGCAATACAATATTTTAAAGAAATATACAAGTTTCTTTTATTAATTAATAATATTCATAGACTTACGTGAAAACAGATCCATATTTATCACCCAATTTGGTTATCTCTCTGTGGGGATGTTTGCCCAGGAATACCGAATACCCGACCACTGGTAGACATACCGGCCCGGCCGGTAAATTCAGTCTCTCCCTGATATTACCCCATATATGTCTGACTAAATTGACAAACAATATGAGCAGTGAAACATACAAAGCATTTTCAAACACATAATTAGACACTGATATCGTGGAAAACATATTTTCGTAAAAATTTAAATGCACGTAAAATATGTTTTATTAATTATTATGAACCAGAAACTTTTGACAGATATGTAAGAAATTATTTTCCTTATATACACACAAATTCTGGTACGAAATTCTGAACTCGTATCTAACATACAGTACCGTATAATAATCTATGGTAAGGGTATATGTACTGTATAGCACTGTTATCATAATAAGAACCGGGGTCGCTTTAAGTTGCTTTAGTGCATTAAGATGCACAGTATAATTATTAGTAATCAAGTCAATTAGATTTATGATAAAATTTGTTTATTGTATAGTTAGATAGTAATAACTTATTGATGATTGATGATAAAAACTTTATGACATCAGAATGTTTTCAGACTATCTGCTATAAATAGTACAGTAACTCATATACTGAGTGGTCATAGATAACGTGTTTCAAGGTTGCCATACAGTACTAGGAAGTTATATTCGTAAACATACTTATGAATAGCTAATATTTAAAGTGTTTATCAGTAAAATCACTGGAAATATTTGCAACTAAAAATTAACCCGTTTTAACTATACTGAAATAAAAAATATTTTAAATAACTAAGAAGGAATTTCTCGATACGGAAAGTTGGGAATGCTAGTTTAATTTGTATGTTCATAAACTTAATTATGTCATTAATAAATGTGCATGGTCAAAAAGTGCGATTGCGGGCGATAAGTTGGTCATTTTATGGTCAGTAAGTTGGCTGACATGGTCATTTTTGTATGAATTAACGTTATTTGAATAGACGATATGTACTAAAAGTTTGGACGGCACTCAACCGTATAGTGCGCACTCAATGTGCGGCAA